GACGCGAGCTGCTTCTCCGCTTCCTGCCGTCCCCGTTTCCGCTCCCCGTCCTTCCTTAACGCCTGATAACTCGTCCCACCAACCGCTTCTATTTATAAGCTCTCTCTTGCTGTCTGAAATTTTAACCTATAGCCGTGAGCCCAGGCCCGCCGGCGGAAAAGGCTCCAGCGCTCGTGGGGCACGTTAGCATCTGCTTATGCGACAACCTTGTCTTAACTGGAAGATGGTGTTTAAATACAGTGAAATTCTATCTTAAGGCTTGGGTCTGGGAGAAAATACGTATTAGACAGCCAGCTCATGCTAACCCACTAATCCCACACCTAACCCCCGGAGCCGGGACGCTCAGCGACGCCTGCGGGGACCCAGCGTCGCCACCACCGTCTCTTCAGCCGCCGCGTTCAACGGAGTTTCAGACTTCGTTGCGACGCTTTCTTCTTCTGGGTATCGCTGGTAAACTCAATACCATAAGTAAAATACAATACCCGTTTCCCTGTCCCCCAATTTAATTCCTCCAAGCAGCTTGCAAACCCAACAGGTGACTTCTCTTCAAGCCCTTTCATAAGCAAGCGCGTACAGCTAGCTGTGTTTCAACCCTCATGGATTGCTCCCCACCAAAACGTGCTCATAAATTGTCTCTAAAAGCTTCTGCTCTGGTGATGTCTTTCTTTAGCACCGTGGGGTATATCGGCTAGACCCGCCGGCTATCCAGTTTAGGAGACTCTTATGGCTTACGAGCATCGCCCATCTGTTTATCTCACTCTCTCGTCTTCCCGACGCCTTTTATTTTATTGTGCTCAAGCACAAAATTGGGTCGGAGGCACAAAGCCGCGCAGCCCAGCTTAATAAAACACCTGAGCTCAGGAACCGGACAAGCAAAACCTCTCTCAGAAAAAACACCCCGCACCGAAGGGCCAGCGCTCGCTCCGCCGCGGCTTTCAATCCGACCTCGCTGCGCTATCAGTCACCCGTCCGCGGCTCCTCGCCCCGGTTAAGCGCCAGCCCTACGACGGGGCGGCGATGGTTGCGCCCAGTCGGCGGCAGGGGTGCAAAGCCGCTTCCCGAAGGCGCTGAAGGCAGCCCGAGCCCAAGCCCGTTCCCCGGCTCCTGGTTTCCAGCCCCGGCCGCACGGACCCGCCGG